ATAGAGCACAGGACTCAGAGTAACTAAAAGGTGAGTCCAAATTCTGCCTCAGATATACACTAGCTGTGTGACTCAGGGCAAGTCACCTAACATCTAGAAGCCTCAGTTTTCTCATTTATAAAATGAAGATAATAATGGTACCTACCTCGCAGAATTGTGAAAAATCAAAGAAGTTAACAAATGCAAAATGGTTTTCAAACCTTGAATCTTATATAAATCCTATCTGTTATTGTTCCTAGCTGCTGAAGAAGGTGAAGTGTTATCAACACCCTCTAAATTTCCCTGTCCCAGCCTCCCTATCTTAGTCACAGCTCCCACAGATAGCCAGGTCCACCAGCTCTGAGAACTGGTACCAAGGAAAGCTGAGTGGGTAGGGAAGTGACAGAGTTGGGTAGCCTAAGATCCAACTACCCCTCTTTAAGAATAAAAGATTCATCCTTAAACAAACCTGAAAATCACCTTTCTCATTTAGGACTGTACAAGCATATTAGTCATGACCTTCTAAATCCAATCCATTTTCTTCTGTCACTTAAAAATTATTTTATATCCACTTCTCTACATACAGGTGATACTATCACCCCCCCCCAAAAAAAATAGAATCTAAGATCCCTGAGTAAAGACACCGTCTCCCCTTTGTCTTTGAATACCTGGCTCACTGCACGGTGCTTGGCACATAAGGGCTGCTTGATTAACACTCGTTGAACCACACTGAATTGAATTTTACTCATAAAAGTTATGAGTATCTTGTTTCATTTCAACACATTCCTCCCACCCCCAAAGACCTTCCTTTTTGTTTGTGTCTGGTTTCCTTGCCCTACATTAACCACACTTTTAAGGCCAACCACCAGATGGCACATCTCATAATAAACTTTTAACTTTGAGGTTTCTGGTAGATGGTTTCATATTCTCTTGAATTACTTTGTTCATATATTATGCTTATAGAGACAGCTAATGGGCCATGGTGGATAGAGACCTGAATTCTAAGTCAGAAAGACTTGTGTCCTATCTATGACACAAACTGGCTATGTGGCCTGAGCCAAGAAACAATCTCTCAATTACCCTTAAGCAACTGTCTAATACTTTCATATTCTCCTGAATTACTTTGTTCATATATTATGCTTATAGAGAGAGCTAATGGACCATAGTGGATAGAGACCTGAATTCTAAGTCAGAAAGACCTGTGTCCTATCTATGACACAAACAGGCTGTATGACCCTGGCTAAGAAACTTAACCTCTCAGTTATCCTTAAGTAACTGTCTAAGACTTTAAGCCATAAAACAGAAGCTAATTTTTATTGGTAGAGGCAATTCCTCATGGGAAGTTCCCTATACCAATTAAATCACACTTCTAGACCAACTTTTTTAATGGTGATAAAAGATAATGCCATCTGTCATTTTGAAAAACTTCAATCCCTGAGTTTATTAGCATAAAAATATTTGGACCTTTCATTTTTTTTTTCACACCCAAAACAAAGGGACATTTTGTCGTGCCAAACCCATTCATCAAACCTGCTTCTCCAATTCTTCTCATTGGCAGAGATGCTTTTCTCCACTTCATTGTTCATGCCTCATGTCACTTTTTGGCATGAGGTCAGATGCCCTTCAAATGTCCCGCAAATCCTCGATCCAGGGGGACAACATGTCAGCAATGCTCGATTATGCCAGCTTGCCCTATAGTAACCCACTTACACTCATCTTGGATAGTTGCCAGCCTACAGCTTTCTGCCACGGACGGAATTCAATTGTTGGGCTTCCTGCTGGCTTTCAAATGCAGCTTTATAGAATGGGAACAGTAGGGGGCATGCTGAGCTCAAGATGCTTATCTTCCTTCTGTATTAGTGGACTGGAGTTTACACTGAGGGACCTGCAGTCTTTCTCATTTAGAATCCTATACGTAGAATTAGTTCATTGATGCTTCCTTTGTGCAGAAAAGTGAGCCTATGTGTCATCTTCAACTCAGGCTTGCTCAGACATGGGCCAAATGCTTTCACATCACATTGTATCTCTGTATGTATGGATTTCTGCACATACATGTGTGCATATCTACATACATGCACAAATAGAATTCAATACAATCCCAAAAAAAGCACAGATGAAGCACTTACCACCATAATAACAGACACCTGTTATTGTTGTTGTTGTTGAATTGTCTCAGTCGTGTCCTACTCTTCGTGATCCCATTTGGAGTTTTCTTGGCAAAGATGCTGGAGTGGTTTGCCATTTCCTCCTCCAGCTCATTTTACAGATGAAGAAACTGAGGCAAACAGGGTTAAGGGACTTGCCAGGATCACACAGCTAGGAAGTGTCTGAGGCCAGGTTTGAACTCAGGTCTTCTAACTTCAGGCCAGCACTCTATCCACCATGCTGCCTGCCCCAATTAAGCTCTTAGCATCATTGTAATGAGAGATACCTACACAGCTTGTTAAAGTTTTCAGGCACTTTACGATTAAGTCGAGCAGTCTTAAGACTGCCACTTACCACATGTGAGACCTGGAGTAAGGTCTAGGTTTGAGTCCTTGTTCTCATTAAAGCTATGCAACCTCAGACAAGTCATTTTCCCTCTCTAGTTCTAAACCTCCTCATCCATAAATGGGGATAATAATACTTCTTGGGCAAGTCACCTACACCAGGCTTCAGTTTCCTCATCTATAAAATAAGAAGATTAGACTAGATGACTTCTCTTGTGGTCCCTCCCAGCCTTAGGTCTCTGATCCTCTGACCTCTCTGGGGCTCAGTTCCCTCATTTATAAAATATGAAAATCATTGATTTGAAATTGGAAAGGATCTCAGAGGTCAATCACTCTTCCCTTATTTCACAAACCAGGAAACTGAGGTCCAGTGCAGAATAAGTAAGTTTTCAACATCACACACACATATCAAAATCAAGACGTGAATCTAGGTCCTCTGCCTCCAGAGTGAGTGATATTTCCCCTGAACTACACTGGACTAGGGATCCCCCAAGAGCCCTCCCTGACAGCTCGTTGTCTGTGGTCTACTAATCCTGTGATCTCATTCGAGCCTCCCAATAACACTATCAAGGGGTTCTAGGCTACTAAAATTATAGATTTAGAGGCAGAAGGAACCTCAGAGGTCATCTAATCCAACTCACTCATTTCACAAATGAGGAAAATAAGGCTCAGAAAAATCCAGTGATTTGTCTGTGGTTCCATGGTTTATAAGTTTCAGAGGCAGTATTTGAACCCAGTTCATCCAGCCTCCAAGGCCAGCAGGCTCTCTACTACACCACTACTAATAAATGGTAGAGCCAGGAGATACTGTGGTACAGTAGAAATGTCAGTGGTCTCCGAATCAGAGGCCTTAGGTGCAAATCCTTCTATCATTTACTACATGTGTCACATTGCAGGATGTCACTTCATTTTTCTAAACTTCAGTTTCCTCATCTGTGAAAGGGGTTTCACTAGATGGGCTCTGAAGTCATTTTTAGCTCTATATCTATGATTCTATAATTCTACATAGTCAACAAGAATTCCATAGGGCTTACTCTGTTTTTTTAAAAAGGCACTGTCCGAGGTGCTGAAGGATGCAAAGACAAAAATGAAATAATGTCTGATCCAGGGTCTTCCATTTTATCACATTAAGAGAGAGAAACCGGCTCTGGGATAGTTTGAAAGGGTTCAATGTCTTAAGTTGGGACTCTGGGATTAGGTAATGAGTACAAAAGGAGCAAACTTTGCAGCTGTAGGAAAGTCCCAGAGACTACCCAAAAAAAGGAGTCAATAGGTTAGGAAAAACTCACCAGGAGTCACTAAAACCTCAGGTTCAGAGTTAGATCTAAGCATCTTTATCTTTTCATTTTGCATTTGAATTGCTTTTCTTTTCATCCTGATATGCATGAAGCATCACTGTCATTGTTGCTATTGTTCATTCACATCCGCCTGCTCATGACCCCATGATCATACTGTTTAGGGGTTTTTATTGGCAAAGATACTGGAGTGGGTTGCCATTTCCTTCTCCAGTGGATTAGAGCAAATAAAGGTTAAGTGACTTGTCCAGGGTCATGCAGCTAGTAAGTGTCTGAAGCCAGATTTGAACTCAGTTCTTCCAGATTCCAGGCCCAGTGCTCTATCCACTGGGCCACTTAGCTGCCTGCACTAAGCATAATAGAGAGTTGATAAATATTTGTAAAATAAATCAGTCAATCTAGTTTAGAGTTTAACACGGCACCTGGCACATACAATCAAAGCTGCAGAATAAATGTTTGTTGATTGATCTGCCATCCGAGAGAGTGGCATATCAACAATAAATAGATTTAGGCAGGTTTTTTTTTAGTAATTTAATATTTTCTTTTAAGTTACTTAGAATTAATTATAACAATTTTAAGAAAGACATTTGTTAAGGATGTAGTAAAAAGGAAATCTTGTGATGGTGACATTAAAAAGAAGTTTTTTGTTTAAGACAGATACCAATACTAGGTAGGCAAGTACCAACTCTAGAGTCAGAAGAACTAGGTTCCAATCCTGCCTCTGATTTCTATTACCTGTTTGACCATAGGCGAGTCATTGAACCTCCCTAGGCCTTAGTTCCCTCATCTGCAGACTAGATTAGCTCCAAATTTTCTTCTATCTCTTAAATGATGATTCTCTGATAGTCAATTGAACACTTGTTACAAGTATGAATTACATTACCCCTAGGTTGAGAGACAGAATGTTTCTACAACTTGAGAACAAAACTACTCCCAAGATTTTCCCTTATATACGAAGTTTCCTTGTTAGGTTGCACTTGAAGACTCTAATGGATCAGTTATCTTGTCAGCATAGGTATTCTCTACAAGGATAGACATTCTCCATGCCTGCCTATCCAGGGCTGAGTAGGGATATGTTAAGAAATAAAAAGGTGATGCAACAAGAAAGCTATCGATTAAACTTTTTAAAGAAAGCAAAGCAGTTGTCATATTCATATTTAGCAGGGTAACAAGCCATCTTCCCCATGGTCCTGCCTCAGCCAACCCTTTTGAAAGCCCAAATACCAGAAGTGGGTACCTGCTCATTGACCCTGGAATGTGAAGGTCCATGGTGGATGAGAATCTTAACAATGTCCACATCTCCCTTCCACGCAGCAAGGTGTATAGGAAAGTAGCCCTTGTTGTCAGCTACATTTGTCGATGCCTCATACTGAAGAAGCTTGAGCACGATATCCCTGGTGAGAGAGAAAGAACGCAGGACAGAAGGAAAATAAGAGACAATGAATGTATCAAAAAAGGCAGTTTGTCTTAAAGAGGTGACAACTTAAACCAATAATGAGTTACTTCTGAGTGACTCCCTAAATTATACAGTTTGAAACTCAGGTTTAAGCATTGACAGCTCTGCCAATTTTGCTTAACTCAACACAACCAAGAGTTTGACTAAATTACCAATGTGCAATTAAAGAAGAAATCCCTTTGATTGGTGAGATTTGATTCATTTATTTGACCAACTCAAACAGAAAGGTTCATCCTCCCTCAGAGCCACAGATAGGAATTTTAGCATATGAGGCAATATGATTCTGGTCCTTTTCAGGTTTCCTTTTGCTGCCAATTTTCTTTTCTCCACTAGTTGACCTCTTACTGAGCTCTGGAGAAATATTTGCTGCAAGATCGTATGCTAGATGGAAAACCCATTTTTAAAGCATATAGCTAAAATGCATTTAGGGATCATTCATGTACATCATTCATGGACAGAACAAGGAGTGAAGATGCTTGCACAGATGGGATAGAGAATGTAAGAAGGGAAGTTGGCTTGCTTAGCTACAGAGGACAAGCCCAGGAGAAGCCTACCCATTCACAAAACAGAACCAGAGAAGCTCAAAGCTGAAAAGGACCTTAGGAGGTCATCTAGTCCAGCATCTTTATTTAATTGATGAGGGACTTGAGGCCCTAAGATGGAAAGTGGCTTGCCCAAAGTCATCTAGATAGGTAGTGTCAGTATAGGAATGAATAAATGAAAAAGCACTTATTATGGGCTCACTATGTGTCAGCCACAATGTTAACCACTAGAGATATAAAATACAAGTAAGATGACCTCTACCGTAAAGGAAATTATATTTTAAAAAGGAAGCCAACATACATAAGGCAGTGGTAGCCAGTGGGGAGTGTTAGGACAGAGGAGTCCAAGTAAATGGAACTGGAATCATAGGGCAACTGATTGGCATGAATTTATCAGGAATAGTAGTGTTGATTTACTGTAATCAGAGACAGAGTTTGAAATATTTGGGGGAGGGAAATATACATGGAGACATCATGGTGGGCCTGAGACCAGACTAGATAAGGTGAATACTCATCAATCAGAGCCCAGGGTCACACAGGAGAGAAGCCACAACTTCTAGATGGAGGTGGAGGCTGGATAGCAGGTGGCATAGCATCGACAAGACTGACTGATTAGTAGGAACTAGAATTGGAAGATGTGTTGATTCCCAGTCATTTCTCACAAATGCACGGCTCCCTGAGAACGACTCTTACCTTCCCATCTACTCCCTAATAAGAGGTATAGTTTTAACATGCAAGGACATGCAAGAAAATTCTCCTACAGCCTCCCCACTTGCAGCTACTATCTGACTTCTTTGACTTCTTACAGGTGTTAGCTTTGAGACCTCAAAGGCCTTCTAATTCAACTCTAATCATTCTAGAGAGGAGTAAAGTGTGGCCCAGGCTGGTGAAGAGATTTGTCAAAGGTTGTACAGATAGGATAACAGATCTGGAAGGGGAAGGGACCTCACAGGTCATCTAGTCCAATCTTATCAATTTAGAAGTGAGGAAACTGAGTCCCAGAGAATGTAAATCACTTGTTCAAGGTCATACCAGTATTGAGGAGCAGAAGCAGAATTTGAACCAAGGTCCTTTGCCTCTAGATCTCATGATCTTTCCACTATTGAGGGGTGGTGAATAAAAATCTCTTCCCATAATAAAGAACTTAAGGAAAATTCTTTGGAAGTTTCTGGATGCTTTGAATTTGTTTTCAAATTTTAATTCTTCTAATTAAGACAATATGCACATGCCATGAGCTATAAATGATTTTGAGTCTCTCAGGCTGAGTTAAAGGGCTACTTCAATTCACCACAGAGTGGACCCACTAAGTAGAGCTCAGAATAAAGGAGAGAGGTATACTGAAGGTCAGTTTCTGAGCACATCAATCCAATTAGTTAATCATAATATTTTCCTAATTTTTAACTGGGTTGTGTGATCCAATAATGGCACATGGTGCCAGTCTGCATGAGGAAATTTAGGTTTGCCATTTGAAGAACTGTTCTCCCTAAAACTAACACTATGTAGAAAAAGTATATGACAAACGTTTTGGCAGTTGGTGGAGTGAATGGAGTTTGTCACGTGGAAATCATACTTCTTGTGCTTGAAATCTTCACTAAGATTAATAGCAGCTCTACAAAAATGGTGCCTCATAGAAAAAACAAAACTCCAGGAGTACAACTCAGGATTGTCAGTTTTGTACATGATATCATACCTTGTTCATTCAGCTCACTAAATTTTTTTTTTAAATTCATGGGAAGACATTGTAGTGATGTCCAGGAAATCTCCAGGAATCCTAAATTTCCTGCTGACCAGATGCTGGAGATGGAAGTTTAGATGGAATTTACAAAAAGAGAAATTTAAGCTTGATGTAAGGAAAAATTTTCTAACATTGAGAACTCTCTGGAATTGGAATGGGTAGCCTAGGAAGGCAAGATCTTTCCTCTCTCTGAAGTTTGTCAAGCAAAGGCCACTATGCACATATCAAGAATTCTTTAAAAAGGAGTCTAGACCACGTATGAGTAGAACTGTATGGCCTCTAACACACCTTCTAATTCACTGATCCAGAGGTTTTGTGACAGAATAGACCTTATGTTAACATTCCCTCTGAAAAATGCCCATCTTGAATAAAGGATGCATGATTTTACAAAGAGGGAAATACATGAGCCAAATGTCTCAAAAAAATTCAAGTAATCTTTTAGTTAAAGGAAATTTAGAGGTTATATGGTTCAACATCCTATCCACTGTAAGAATCCCATTCATGGCTTTTCTAAAAGGTGTTCAGCTCATTTCTACTCACTAACATTCCCCCCCTCCAAAAAAATGGCTCACAGCCAAATGCAGGAGAGCCTATTCCATTGCTAGGCAGCTCTAATTAGAAAAATCCCTCCATTATCTGTAAAGACATCATGGCATAACGGACAGAGGGTTGACCTTGCAATTAGGTAGACCTTGGTTCAAATCTTGCCTCTGCCACATACTGGAACCATCAGCAAGTCACTTGACCAAATAATGCCCCCTTGCCAGTTGTCTCTAAGAATGATGCAAACTTCTTCAGTGGAAGGCATTTCCCTACCATCAAGATCATTACAAAAGTGATAAAGCTCAACCTCCACTCCAAAAACAATGATTGGGGTTAATATAAAATTTTTTGACATTTATAATAAAAGATATTCCCTAATAAAAACAAATTTAGTTAAAAATCAATAAAAGGCAGGATAGTTGAGCCTCAAACGACAATGTAGGTTATTATTTGCCTAATTCCATGTAATTGTGCAACTGAGTTTGAAGTATTACAGAACATTTATTTGGACAACTGTAATTTATTTCCACTTTTGAGTGGATGAAGAATATATTGGCATTCACTCAGCTATGCTCCCTCTGAATGGGAAAGAAAGAAGGAGAGATGGGATACTCATTCTTCTTTATTTGTTTTTCATGCTCAAGTCCTCAAGAGCATGATTCTAAAAGAATAATGATAGAGAATGCTACCTACTTCCTGATAGACAGATGACAAATATATTACATAGAATAAGACATGTTTCTGGACACTGTCAATATGGGAATTTGTCTTGCTTGTCTATGCATATTTGTTTCAAGGATTTTATTGCTCTTGTGTTTTTTTTCCCCCATGGGAAGAGTAAGGAGAGAAAAAAATTCTTGTTTATTAAAAATAAAAAGAATAAAAATTTAAAACCAAATCAAAAGTAGAGTATCATAGAATCTGAGAATTTTAGACCTGGAAGTAACCTCAGAGCTTATGTAATCCAACTTCTCATTTTATAGATGAAGAAACTGAGTCCTGGAAAGTTTATGTAACTTAACCAAGGTCTCGTAAGCTAGTCAATGTTACAAGGTAGGTGCAGCAATTAAGTGTACTATAGTCATTCTCCTACACCATGAGGATCTCCATTTATGCTTTCATCCAGTTTTTGCTGATCCTTTATAGCAGTTTGTGTAGTATGCATTTACTAGTCCCCCAATTTATAAGCAAGATTCTTAGACTTACTGAAAGAATATACCTATTTTTGCAAATTTGCCTTGGTCTTCTGACAACTGGTAGCATGCCTATATGTTACTCCATGTGAGTATTTAAAGCAAGGAAGGAGAAAAGGTAAGTCATGAAGCTACATTCTCTTTATACTCTGATTCCAAACATTTTTTTTTCTGTTTTTTAGTTTAAATGAGGCTCTAGGCCTTGATCAGGGATGGTGACCTAGGAGGCGTTGAAAGAGCTTGATTCCCTGGTCTGAAACACAACATTTGTTAAAATTTAAACACCTTTACTTTTAAAGATCCATTAATTTCTTCACTGTGTATCCTTCCACCACTGACAGAGATTGCAATTCTTATTCAACAAGAAATATGGTCTTCATGAGCTTCTGTGGCCAGAAAATTCATCTTCCTGCAGCCAATGTAGAGATGAGACTTTACAAACTCAGCTCGGCTAGTCCACAAATAATAATACATATAATGCATCGCTGGTCAACACTCAGAACCTTCTCAGATTGGTGGGATCTAGAATCATAAATCTTGAGCTGGAAGGGAATTTAGGGAACATCTAACCTCAGCACTCTTGTTTTAGACCTGAGGAATCTGGGCCCAGAGAAGTAAACTGACTCACTCAACATTCCACAGGTAGTAAATGAAAGGGCTGGGATTTGAACGAGAATGTCCTGACTCCAAATCTGGCATTCAATCTCATGTGTCATGCTTGAGTTCTCCTGGTCTACCCTTCAATCACAGGAGGACATCAGTGGAGCAAATTCAACCATTGTTATGAAATACAAACCTATTTTTATTTATTGATGAAATTCATAGCCTGCATTCAAGGTAGAATCTATCCACCAGGCAATTAGCTACAATAACTGATATGTAAATAGAAACACAATCTCTTCATTTCACTTCTCTTTTGTGTATA